ACCAGAGGCGGGAACTGGATGCTACAGGGGTTCAGGCACTTAGCTTGTGTCTTGCTAACCCTGGTTGAAATCCTGACACCATATAGAGCTGGGACTAGATCCCGAGCACTGCTGGGAGTGGTCTCGACAAACAAGGTAAAAAAAAAAAAACACCAGAATCTGAGCCACCCCTGCTCTATGGTGCTACGCTTGGTGAACAGAGCGTGGCGTGAACTTCAGCTGCCCCATCTCATCTATGAGGTGCCTTGTGGTGTGAACAAGGTGCCTAACACCTGTGGCAGATACGGGAGGTTTCAACTCTGATCACAGATGGGAAAAACCTCTAGCTTGAAAATACTCATACCCAAGAAGGTCCCTGGGGTCTCAGAGATATGAATTTTGTCCCGAAGCATTGTTTCAATGTAATTTTATTATTTTAATTATCTTTTGTATTGGGGCCACCTGAGATTTTTTCAGGGACTACTGTCTCGCCTCCCCCTCTCCCCCTCCGCCCCCAGATCAATGCTCAGAGATCCCTACTGGAGGTACTTGAACCTGGGCTTCCTTCATGCAAAGCACATGTTCAGTCTATTGATCTATCTCCTTGGTGGGCACTGACTTCAGTTGAAGGTTCCCTGGTGGTATTTCAACGTGCAACCTGAACTCTAACTTCAAACTTACGTGAAAATCTCAAACAGGGGCTACAGTGATAATATAGGAGGTAGCGCGCAGGCCTTGCATGTGGCCAACCGGCTTGGATTCCCCAGTCCCATATATGGTCTCCTGAGCACTGTCAGGAATGATCTTGGAGCACAGCCAGTTGTGTCCCCCACACCAATTTTTCTTTCTAAAGAAGAAAAATCTCAAACTGGGCTCACGTGCAAAAGTACTTCTACCCCCTAGGCCTGGGTAGAGATGTTGGCGGGCTCACATGGCAGCCAACATGCCAACCTGTGGCACCAATGCCAACATCGGTGTCGGTTTGTCAGTTCCAGGAACCTTTGCCTTTCCCACCTGTCCCTGGATGGCTAGGCCTGCTCTTCCCCGGTGCCCCAGCCTCGGCATTGCCAGTGCAACTTGAGATGGTGGAGCAGGAGTCAGAAGTCAAGCCTTTGCTCGGTGTGTGACCTGGGGGTGGGTATTCTACAAGTCCCTATTTCAGTTACTTAAGTTATCAATAGCCAAGTTATCAATGAGCAAATGGTATTAAAGTGCTCCCTTCATATAAATAATTATGCAAAAAATTTTAAAAATTATCATGCAATTGTGAAAGAACTTCATTGTATAAAATTCCAGAAAATAACCTCTCTTCAGGGATCAGGGAGATAGTACAGCTGGAAAGGCGCTTGTACTGCATACTGCCAATCCTGGTTCAATTGCTGACACTGCCAAGAATCCCCTGGGCATGGCCAGAGTGGCAGTCTCTGAAGCACAGAGCCAGGAGTAAGCCCTGAACTCCACTGCGTGTGTAGCCCCATAAAAGCCACGAAAAAAAAAAAGATATTTAAAAACTAATCCAGCTGGTTAGGACATGGCTTCTGGAGAAGCCGTGCAAACAGCACTCGGAGCTTCCTTGGTGCCCCCCATTCCTGACTGTTAAGGCTTCCTGACAGTCAAGGCAACAGCCCTCTTTTTCCTGTTCTTCCCAACCAACAGTCCTGGATTCAGTTACTTATAAACAAAAGGGATTTTAATTAATACCATATGTGGCATAGAATTTTCCAAACTGTATTCAGTGGAATGCTTTGTTCTAAAATGATCATACACTTTGCAAAAGAAGATTAATTCATTCCTCATCTGTGGTCCTCAGGGGCTACTCCTGGTGGTGTTAAGAGAGGCCACTAGGTGTGGTTCCTGCATTCAAAGCACGTATTCCTATTCTTTGAGTTACCCTCTTGGTGTCTCATATTTTGTTTTTAGTTTGGTTTGGGGGCCACACCCAGCTGTGCTCAAAGTTTACTACTGGCTCTGTGCTCAGCGATTACTCCTGGCTCTGTGCTCAGCGATTACTCCTGGCGTGGTGCTCAGGGAACCATATGTGATGCTGGGAATTGAACCTGGGTCGGTCATGTGCAAAGCAAGTGTGCTGCACCAGCCAGTGTATTATCTTTCTCGCCCTCATATTTTTATATTCCAAAAAAGCATTCATACTAAAAACTGTCTTATTCTTATAATACTTAGTAATCTACCTTTATAAACAAGTGTTCTATGTCTCCAGAATGCTAGACAATTCCATGAGAAATTTCTTTCACATATCAGTGTTCAAACTGCAGCGAACATCAGAAATATTTGTGGAGAGGCCAGAGCAATAGTACAGTGGAGAGGGAGTTTACCTTGCACACGACCGACCAGAGATTGATCCCTGCCATCCCATATGGTCTTTGGAGCACTACCAGGAGTAATTCCTGAGTGCAGAGCCAGAAGTAACCCTTGAATATTGCCAGGTGTTACCAAAAAAGCCCTGCCAGAATTTTTTTCCCCAAAATTTGATACCATCAATTGTCATAAAGCATCAAGCCGTATTGCAGGGCTGAGCATCACTCCAAGGGGCACCAAGCCCTGGGACTCTGCTGAGTGTGACCCCTATAAAAAGAAAAGGCCTGAAAGTCACCTAAAAAAAAAGAAAAGAAAAGCCCATGACTAAATCATTTCCTGCATTCATCATTGAGGTCTTTTCGCTTCTAGTACTGAGAGTCTCAGCACTCACAGCTTAGGAGTGTCCCTGAGTTTCTATCAGCAGCATCCAGGAGCAGTGTACTGGACACGGCCGTGTTAAATGTCTTGTCTGCAAGGGCAGTCAAGGACATGACCAAGCATTTATCACTCAGTGGCCTAAAGGCCTCTGGTTAGTAATATGCCTTCTAAGAAACGACTCATCACAATTCTACGGCAAATAATCTAGTAAGTGAACTAAGAATGTCTTACTAATGACCTAGACAGTATTTCTATCTTGCCTTCATCACGACAGAAATGTTTGCCTCAGTATGGTATCTTAAAAGACTATGAGATACCTGGTTTTCACACAGTTCAAGTTGTCATATATTACGCTGCTCCAAAAATCCTTCGTTTTTGGAAAGGGGGGGGCACATCTGGCAGTGCTCAGGCTGATTCCTGGCTTTGCTTAGGGATCACACCTAGTGGGGCTCCAGGACCGTAGGTGGTACCAGGGATCAAACCTGGGTCAGGCATGTGCCAGAACAAGCTCTCTCCCTGCTGTACTATCTCTCCGGCTCATTCATTTAATCTTTTAAAGAAGTCACTTGAGGGGCTGGAGCTATATAGTACAGCGAGTAGGGCATTTGCCTTGCACATGGCCGACCCGGGTTTGATTCCCTGCATCCCATATGGTCCCCCTGAGCACTGCCAGGAGTAATTCCTGAGTACAAAGCCAGAAGTAACCCCTGTGTATCACCAGGTATAACCCAAAAAGCAAAAAAAAAAAAAAAAAAAAGAGCATGAATTTTCTTTTGCTTAAGAAGTTACATAACTAGGTTTCTATATATAATTCAAACAAATCCTTAATGTTTTACTAGCAGCACACTTGATAAAGCAAAAATGATAATCTAGAAAAATTATTTAACAGTCTTGGATTAGGAGTAAAAAATCTGGATTCCATGGGACTGGAGTGATAGTATAGTGGGTAGGTTGTCTGCATGTCGTTGACCAGGATTAGATTTTCCAGCATCCCATATGGTCCCCGAAGCAATGGTAGGAGTAACCCCTGAGCACTTCTAGGTGTGGCCACAAAACAAAAAAATCTGGATTCCAAGTGTTAACTCCAACATACAAAGTGACTATAGATGCAAATTTCTATTTCAATTCTCTCAAACTGTACAAGTGTAACTAGTTCACATGGAGCTCTCAAAGCCATTTTACAAGTGCAGATGCTTTACTTCATACTTGGTGGTACTCAGGGATCACTCCTGATGGTGCTCTGGGGATCATATGGGATGCCATGAATTGAATCCCGGTCAGCAGAGTTCAAGGCAAATATTTTACCTGCTGCACTCTCTGGACCCTCCCTGAACTGGCTTTTTTTGTGTGTGGTGCTGGGATCAAACTCAAGAGCCTCACACTTGGCTAGGCAAGTGCTTCATCATTTGATTTTGGTAGGCACAGCAGGTAAGACGTTTGCCTTGCATGAGGCCAACCTGGTCGGCCCAGGTATGATTCTTTCGCGCCTCTCGGAGAGTCCGGCAAGACGGCAAGCTACCAAGAGTATCTTGTCCACACGGCAGAGCCTGGCAAGCTACCCATGACGTATTCGATATGCCAAACACAGTAACAAGTCTCACAATATTACTGGGCCCACTCGAGCAAATCAATGAACAATGGGAGGACAGTGCTGCAGTGCGGTACTACAGTGGTTCTGAATTTACTCCCTGCAGCATTCAAGGTAGGGGATCAAATCTGGGCCTTCGGGATGCAAAGCACATTCTCCAAGCCTTCAGAACATCTGTTTCTAAATTGCTTTAGTATGTGTGTGTGTGCGCACGCGTGCACAATCTGGCTGGGCTGAGAGGCCTCTACCAGCAGTGCCTAGAAGTCTCCTGGTGGTCTCAGGGGACCACATAGTGCTGTGAACTCCCTCACACTAAATACTTTTTTACATCAGGTGGTGCTTAGGGCTTACTCCAGGCTGTGTGAGAGGTCACTCCTGGAGGGGATGAGGGAGTCATATGGGGTGTCAAGGACCAAACCCAATTCAGTTACATTTGCAAGGCAATCACTCTGCCCACTGTACTATCTCTCTGGCCCCTGGATTAGGTTTTTTCCCCCCCAACTCTTCCAACTTTCTCTGAATTCCAACTGGCGTCAGATATGGGTAAGGACCTTTTCTGTTTTCTGTGCCACTCCCCCTTCCATCCCAACACACACACACACACACACACACAGAGCATATCTCTGCTTTAAATTCTGGGAGCTCCCTATTCTAGCCCTATTCGATCCATTTTAGCAGTTTAGAAATGTATGTCCCCCTACACACATACCTATTCCAGATAGAATAATTAAGACACTGCCACTGGTGCTGATTTATTATAGTCTGTTAATAGCACACATATCAATACAGAAAATAAATGGGAACTTCACTGAAGGGAGCAATGATTTGCAGCCATTCAACAGGTAAGTGTGTGCACTTAATCATCATCCTCATGTTGTTCTTTTAAGGTTTGGATCTTCTTCTTGTGCCTCTCAATTTCTTTCTGCAGACGCTCAATCTCCTTCTTATGAAGAGCAATCTCATCTTCATGGTGCTTCTTCAAGGCTGCCAGCTGTTCTTTAGATCGTGCTCTACAAGAACACAGTGGCTCTGCTTAATCCCAATCCTTCGCTCAAAGAAATCTCTTAATATAACCCACAATAGCTCCCGATGGCAAAGAACAGGATCCCAATCCCACGGGAGGCTTGCTGGTCATCCTCTTTTACCTCTTCAAGCCTCACCACAGAAAGAACATTCTGCCTTAATCTGTTGCAATGTTGGGCCAGAGAGATAGTACAGGGGTTAAGTTGCTTGCCTTACATACAGTTAACTTTGGTTCCATTCTTAGCACCACTATGGTTCCCTGAGAACTGCAAGGAGTGATCCCTGAGCAAATGTAGTATCCCTCTCTCCCCTCACCAAAAAAAAAAAAAAAAAAAAAAAAAAAAATCCAGGAGATGAGTAAACTAATGTCTGAAAATCTCTTATCCATTAACTATTCCCCTTCAGATACTCTTTGAAGTAGAAAACTCTGTGGAGATATATAACATAAATCCTTAAGATCACTAACACCTGCTTTTCCGGGGGAGTTGTTCTGTTTTGAGGAGACATCTGGCAGGGTTCAGGAGCTCCTCCTGATTTCACTGCTTACAGTGGGGGACTTACAGCAGTGACCTGGGACCATGTGGATGCCAGGGACTGAATGTGAGCCTCCCACATGCAAAGCATTTATTTCAGTTCTTTTGAGCTATCTCTGGAGCTTTCTGGTATGGCAGGTGTCGTGGCAACAGTTCTTCAGAGTGAGCAAAAGTGGGCAGGGAAGATGGCTCAAAGAGCTTAAAGCACATACCCCCTGGTTAGATCCCAGCATTTGTGATCCCATGAATACAATCCACTTCCACCCCATAAACACCAAGCTGGGAGTAGCCTCTGGGCACTGCCAGAAGTTGTCACAAAAAAAAAAGGAGCAAAAGGAGAAGCAGATCAATTCCATATTGCTTCTGCTGTAGCCAGAAATCAATTAAAAATAACATCTGGTAAAGAATAAGAAAGTCGGGTCAGAGACAGTACAGCAGTAGGGCATTTGCCTTGCACGTGGCTGACCCAGGTTTGATTCCCAGCATTCCATACGGTCCCCCCAAGCACCACCAGGAGTAACCCCCGAGCATCGCTGGGTGTGACACAAAAAGCAAAAGAAAACAAAAAAAGTCCACCCCAAAACCAAAAAAAAATAACTGGGCTGGAGATAGTGCAGCAGGTAAGGAAGGTGTGCATTCCCCTTGCACACAGCCTAGCTGGGTTCACTCCCCAGTATGAGTTGTCCCCTGAACCAAGCCAGGAGTAAGCCCTGAGCACTGCTGTATGTGTTTCCAGAACATAAAACCACAAATAAACAGACCCAGCCCACTCCATAGCTTTTGTTTTTGAGCCATACACGGTCCATTTGGGATACTGGGGATTGAACCCAGGTCAGCTGTGTGAAAAACAAGCGCCTTACTTGCACTACCCTCTCAGGTGGTCTCCACCTCATTATCAGTATTATCATTTTTGAAGGGAGCACATCTGGTAGTGCGTGGGAGTCGGCTGGGGAGGGGTAGTCACATCAAAAGAGCTGCGGATCTAACAGCTTCCTGCATGCAAAGAATGAGCTCCAGCCATATCTAGTCCAGAGACTAGGCTGGCAGGCCGGTTGGATTGGGTTGCTTTGGGCTTGTGTGGGCGCGGTGGGCTGGGCTGCAGCTGGGCAGGGCCAAAAGGACCAGGAAGGGGGAAATTCCAAAGAGCTGCTGCCACCAGCGCCTAGGATCCCACTAGCTGTGGCTGAGTGAAAAGGGCTGGCCAGTTGGGGCGTCCATCTCTGCAGGGCATGACAGGCTACAGCATGTGTGTGTGTGTGTGGGGGGGCGATAGGTGGACAGTACTGCAAGGTCAGGCCAACAAATTGCCGAGGGGTGGGGGAGGAGGTTCGGATGACGCAGGGAGAATCCACGCCTGGGGGTGGGAAATGATTCAGCAAGAAAAGTGTCGGGATCTGGGTCTTCTGGAGACTCGCCTGGTCCTCCGGGTGGGAAAAAAAAAATTGGGTCTGGGGGTCCTGACTACTGGGGGCACCCTCGGTAGCGGCAGTAGGTCAGCAAGTGTTGGGCATAATGCGGTCCAGGGCATCCACAGCGTCCTGTTTAATTAGTGCTGTGTTTAGGGGCCACACCCGACAGCGGTCAGGGGCTCCCCCAAGCTCGGGGACGCTCTCCCGGCATTGCTCAAGGGGATCCGGAGGGACCGGGATCTAACGGGCCGGCCCGTCCAGCTCTGCGGCCGTTCGGCCGGCCGAGTCCTGGGCGGCGGGCAGAGGGGAGTGGCCGTCCCGAGGGCCTCGGGCCCCGCGGGTCTCACCGGAAGTAGCGCTCCTCTTCGGCCTTCTCTCTTCTGGCGAAGGCCCCACCGCCCTCCCGGATGGAGCCGTCGTGGGAGTCGAATTTACCAGACTTGGGGGAGAGAGAAAGCGACATCGGTCAAGCGGCTCCGGGGTGGAGGACACGCGCGCCTAGCTGCGGGTGGGGGTGGGGTGGGGGGGGTGGACGCTGCCGCGGCGTACCTGATCGGATTTGAATCCTCGGGCTTGCAAGGCCCTCAGGCCGCACACGCCGAGCCGCAACTGCGCCGCCAACGCCGGGGCTGCCATGGTCGGATGCTGCACCGCGCCGGTTACTGGCGCAGGCGTCGCAGCATCACCGTGGGCGCTAACAGCGGGGATGGCGGGCAGCCAATCTTTTCGAAGGGGAGGCGGGACGTTGCTCGAAGTGACGAATCGTGAGAGGAAGGGGGCGGGATTCCGGTGGCTCCTAGCGAATCCTGAGCGAGAGGCAGGTCTAATCGGAACCAATCTTTTTGGAATTCCGTGGCTAAATCATTGGAGAGAATGATAATGAAAAGGGACGGAGAGGTTCTGCAGCCTAGACTTCCGCTCTTGGAGTCGTCAAAATGATTGTGGAGTCCATCCCAGTTTCCATCTCAGTTTCAGTCCAAAGGTTTGGTTTGGGTTTGGGGGCCACACCCTGCGGTGCTGGCCCCGTAAAGTTAGTAAACAAGCAAAAAAAAAAAAAAGGGGGCTATAGTACAACGGGGTAGGGCACTTGCCTCGCACGCGGCCGACCCGGATTCGATCCCAGGCACTCGGCACCCCTGCGCCCCCCATTCCCAACAGGCCAGGAGTGATCCCTCAGCGCAGACTCAGGAGGCAGCCCTTGAGCATTGCCCTAAAATTCAAAACAAAACAAAACAAACATGCAAAATAAGCCTTCCCTTTCCTGGACTGCTAGCCTCCAAAAGAAGGTAATAAAGGTCAGGGTTGTCCTGCAGGGACTAAAACGCTTGCCTTGCATGAGCCAAACCCCTGCTAATCCCACGGCCTCTCTACTCCCTCCACCCAACCCCTCAACAGAATCAGAGTGACTCCTGAGCACGGAGCCTGGAATACCAAACCAAAGCAAAAAAAAAAAATCACAAAAGATTGGCATATAGGTGTTGTCAGGGGCATATGTCCAGGATATTCTCATTTAGTTAGCATTGGGGGCAATGTTTTGTTTTTGGACCTCAGGACTTTCTGTTGGCTCTGTGCTCAGGAATCATTCCTGGCGGGCTTGGGGAAACATGGGGTGCCAGGGATTGAACAGGGTTAGCCATGCATGGCAAGTGCCCTACCTGCTGTACTACCTCTTCAGCCACCCACACTAGTTACTTCATTCATTCTTTGCTTTTTTCCTTCTTTTTTTCTACTCCTTCCATCCTTTCTTCTTCTTCTTTTTTTTTTTTTTTTGCAGTGCCAGGATAGACCCAGATCTTCTGCATGCAAGGCAAGTACTTATCACTGAACCACATTTCTGCTCACGCCCAATTGCCTCACCCACCCTTTATCTTCTGAAGTTAACAGGGCCTTGATCCAGTAGGCACTGCATTTTTATTTTTTCGTTTTGGGTCACACCCAGGGATGCACAGGGGTTACTCCTGGCTTTGCACTCAGGAATTACTCCTGGCAGCGCTCAGGGGACCAAATACGATGCTGGGAATTGAACCCGGGTCGCCTGCTAGGCAAATGTCCTACCCACTATGCTATTGCTCCAGCCCCAAGGCACTGAATTTTTTTATACCTGCGATGCATTGATGTATTATAGAATGGGCTTGATAACTTTTAGTGTGGAATGAAGTCCAAAGGCGCTTAAAGTCCGGGGGAAAAACTTTCCTTTGAATTTCCTTTTTTTCAACCATTTAATGTGAACAAGACATTAATAGTATTTACTTTCTGGAAATTTATGGCCTTTACCAACATCTGAAGGTTCTTTTAATTTTTTTTCTCTTTTAGATGAGAACGGGCTAGATTAACTTTTATTGTATTATATTGTATTTAGGGCAGGGAGGGCGTTTTTTATTTTGTAGTCACATTTGACCTTGCTCCGGCTATTCTGGCTCTATGCTTAGGACTGAGGTTGGAGTGGGGCATAACAGGATATGGTGCCCAGGTTTGGAACCAGATAGATGGATGAAGGAAAGTGTTTTACTGCTGTACTATTTCTCCAGCCCCAGAGTACCTGTTTTTATTTATTTATTTGTTTATTTTTGCTTTTTGGGTCACACCTGGCAATGCACAGGGGTTACTCCTGGCTCTGCAATCAGGAGTTACTCCTGGCGGTGTTCAGGGGACCATATGGGATGCTGGGGATCGAACCCGGGTCTGCTGTGTGCAAGGCAAACACCCTACCCTCTGTGCTATCTCTCCAGCCCCCCTATTTATTTTTTAAATAAAATCATATAATTTTTGGGGGGGCCAAAGGAGGTTGGTCCACATCCTGCATTGCTCAGGGTTTAATCCTGGCCCTGTGCTCAGGGATCGTTCCTGGAGGTGCTCAAGGGACTGACCACATGTGGTGGTAGGGATCAGACCAGCATGGGCCACATTCGAGGCAAGTGCCTTAACCTCTATGCAATCTTTCTAGTATTAGGATGTTTTTATTAATCATCTTTTTAAAATTAAAGTATTTTAGGGGTAAAGGATGTAGCTCAGTGGCAAAGCACTTGCTTTGCATGTGTGAGGCCTTGAATTTGAGTCCCTGCACTGCAAAAATAAGTAAAATAAGGACCACCGAGATAGTGCAGAGGGTAAGGTTCTTGCTTTGCACACAGTCAACCTAGGTTGAATCCCTGGCACCCAATATGGTTCCCTGAGCACTGCCACCGGGAATGATCCTTGAGCACAGAGCCAGGAGTAAGCTCTGACCACCATTGGATTGACCCTAAAATAAGAATAAAATAAAAATTTCCTCCCCCTTTCTTCTTATTATTGATCATATTATTATTTATTATGCTAACTGAAGTTTGTGTATACTCTTGGCAGTGGTGCTTGCACTTAATTTTTTTTTTCTTTCTTTCTTTCTCTTCCAGGAGCTGGTTTTTATAGTCTCTGAGTCTTGGCTGTTGATGGGATTAAAAACCAGCTCCTGGAAGATAACAGTGCATTCTCCTGCCCCCGCACCTGGCTGTCCTCGCTGGGGCCCCTTGGAGGGGAGCGGGTTGAGCTTTCCTCCCCGCCCCGACCAGGGCTTCGGCAGCCAAAGACCTCCAGGACCAGCCACCACCATGCTGAGACCACTCTCTGCACACATGAAGGTACAGACAGAGGGACAAAGTCACGCGAGTTCCGGGCCGAGATCTCCAAGCCTACTTGGATTGGGGCCGAGCATCCTCCACCCAGATCCTCCAATTTCCAGTAGGCGGGGGTCACACCCACCAACTGGCCCCCTGGCGCCGTGTAATCCCATCAGCGGCCAAGACTCAGAGACTATAAAAACCAGCTCCTGGAAGAGAACAGTGCAGTCTCCTGCGCCCACGCCTGGCTGTCCTCGCTGGGGCCCCTTGAAGGGGAGCGGGTTGAGCATTTGCGGCCGCGCGACATCTTATTATGACATCTTATTATCTCATTCCTACTTTGGACAAACTGGCAGGCTACCGAATGTAGCCTGCCCACACGGCAGAGTCTGGCAAACTCCCCGTGGCGTACCCAATATATGCCAAATACCAGTAACAATGATGGGTCTCATTCTCCTAAAGAGCCTTGAATATAATCTCAGGGCTAGGATGAAGGAGACGTTACTGGGGCCTGCTCGAGGCAATCGACGAATAACAGGATGATTTGTGATTTGATTTTCTTTCTCTTGGGCTGGAGCAATAGCACAGTGGGTAGGGTGTTTGCCTTGCATGCGGCCGATCCGAGTTCAATTCCTCTGCCCCTCTCAGAGAGCCCAGCAAGCTACCGAGAGTATCTCACCCACATGGCAAAGTCTGGAAAGCTACCCGTGGCATATTCGATATGCCAAAAACAGTAACAACAGTCTCACAATTTGTTGTGCCCGCTCGAGCAAATTACTGGTGCCTGCTCGAGCAAATCGATGAACAACAGGAAAACGGTGCTACAGTGCAGTGCTTTTGTACTTTTAGTAATAAGGCACACGAGTTATGACTGTGGTATGGCCAGAAATCACAGGGTCATAGATCACAGACAGGATAACTGCAAAGTTCAAACAGTAGAGTTTTCAGGCTTGCCCATGTAGGACACAGGGTTTGAACTTGTGACATATACTAACAGGGTAGTTGATTTGAATCCCTGCACTGCCCCTCCTGGCCCTTAATTTTTTTTTTTTGCAGTGTAGATATCAAATTCAGGACCTCATATGTAGAGCAAGTGAACCATATGTAAAACTAAGTGAACATGTGTACTAAATTCTCATCATCTTCCATTGTCACTGTCACTGTCCTCCTGTTGTTCATCGATTTGTTCAGGTGGGCCCAGTAAAGTCTCCATTGTGACAATTGGTACTGTGTTTGGCATATAGAATACTTCACAGGTAGTTTGCCAAGCTTTGCCATGTGGGCGAGATACTCTCAGTAGTTTGCCGGGCTCTTCAAGAGGGGCAGATGAATCAAAACTCGAGTTAGCCATGTTGGCGGCTTGCAAGGCAAAGCAAACGCCCTACCGCTGTGCTATCGCTCCAGCCCCATCTTCCATTAATCATCATTTTCTTTGTTTTTTGTTTTGGGGCCACACCTGCTGGTACTCAGGGCTTATTCCTGACTCTGCTCTCAGAGGTCACTCCTGACAAACTCAAAGGACCATACGGGGTGCTGATGATTAAACCAGGATGATCCCTGTGGAAGGCAAATGCCTACCCACTGTACTATTGCTCAGGCCCCTTCATTAATCACCTTTTAATCGCAAAAATAATAATCTTGTATGATTTAGATGGTGGGCTGGAGCAATAGCACAGTGGGTAGGGTGTTTGCCTTGCACGCAGTTCGATTTCTCTGCCCCTCTCAGAGAGCCCGGCAAGCTATCAACAGTATTTCACCCACACGGCAAAGCGACCGTGATGTATTCGATATGCCAAAACACAGTAACAAGTCTCACAATATTACTGTGCCCGCTTGGGCAAATCGATGAACAATGGGAAGACAGTGCTACAGTGCTACAGTCTTATTTTGGGCTGGAGCGATAGATAGCACAGCGGGAAGGGCATTTGCCTTGCAAGCGGCCAACATGGTCGACCCGAGTTCGATTCCTCTGCCCCTCTCAGAGAGCCCGGCAAGCTACCAAGAGTATCTCGCCTGCACGGCAAAGCCTGGCAAGCTACCCGTGAAGTATTCGATATGCCAAACACAGTAACAATTGTCACAATGGAGACACTACTGCGCCCGCTGGAGCAAATCGATGAACAACAGAAAGACAGTGACAGTGATTTAGTTGGGAGGAAATGTTTCTGGGACACATTTTCAAATGTTTATTTGAAATGTTCATTTCAGGAGTCAGAATACTAACTGCAGGCAAGGCACACTTGCTTTGTAAGCATCCATCCAACAAGGTTTCAATTTCCAGCACCTCATAGGCTCCCTGAGCCCATCTCAGCGCAGAGCCAGGAAAGGTCTCCAAACCAAACAGAAAACCCAACCCCCGACTCCCGTCAGCTTCCCCCCCACAACCGTACAAAACACAAGCAGAAGGTTAGAAATTAATCACTCTTAAGCACCAAAGAGTGGTGAAATTCGGTGTGTTTTAAAGCAGCATCTCTTTTTTAATTTGTTCCCGTGTGTGTCTGCGTGCCACACCCAGCAGTACCCAGGGTTTATACGAGGCTCTGCACTCAGGAGTCACTGGGGGGCTCGGGGGATCATTAGGGGTGCTGGGGATCGAGCCCATGGTTGGCCACGCGCGAAGCAAGAGCCCTATCGCTGAGTTAGGGCTTCTGCTCCTATAAAGCTGTTTCGGAATTAGAGGGTCGCGCAACACGTCAAACGTACCATAATATTCATTAAAAAAATGGCACATTGTGTACTAAGGTAATTAAGAATCAATGGGGTCGTTGTGCGTGCTGGAGCTCCAGCCCTGTAAGTCCCCCGGAGCGACAACCACCTTTCCCACGCCCCCAGCATCCTTCAGGGAATAAACAGGACGTGAACATTGCCAGGGGCGGTCCAAAAGCAGCGAAGCAAAAGAAATAAAACAGTGGCGTCAAATTGGGAGGCGCGCCCTTTAAGTCGCACAGGAGGGGGCGGGGCCATAGAGGCGGGCCAGTAGGGATCACGTGACGCTGCGCCTGCGCACAAGAGTCACGTGGTGGCTGGACCGGAGAAATGGCGGCTCCGGGAGAGAGCGGAGTTTCTGGCGGCGGCGGCGGCGGCGGCGGCAGCACCGAAGAAGCGTTTATGACCTTCTACAGTGAGGTGAACCCTGAGTGAGGGATCGTGCGCCCGCGACCGCGCTGCCAGGGCGCATTCTCGCAGCGGGCGGAGGCAAAGGGCCTCCTGGTCTGGACCGTTGGGCCTCTGCTGCCTGGCCCTGAGGGGAGGTGGGGGCCCGGGCGGGTGTGTGCGCGTCGCCCCCGACGGCTCCGGAGGATCCCCTGGGCCGTGAGGAAAGGGGCTCGGTTGTCCTCGGCGGGGTCAGGGTGAATGTGGCCAGCGAAGTGCCTTGGCGCGCTCAGCGATCCCCCCCACGTCCGCGGGGCCCGGGCCGGGACGGGTGTGGGCCGAGGCTGCGCGTTTCCGGAAGGCACCGAACCGTTCTGGCCCCATTTTCGGTCCAAACGGCAGCGCTCTCTGCTCCTCGTTCTGTTCTGTCAGTGGCTGCTTCGGCCGTTCTTGAACGCCGGCACGTCCGTCAAGCCTAGGTAGGCATTGTCTTCGTGTTGTAGCAGAGACCAACGTGAAGTTCAGGGACTTACCAGCAGATAACGGCGCGGATTCGGGATCTTGGTCCAAACCTCCTGTGCTGTTACATCTCCACCACCCGGTACCTAGCGGTTGCGCAGCAAATAATATTGAGTAACCGAACGAACGACTGAGTGAAAGGTAGAAAACCAAGCTGCTGGGAATCGAGGACACTGGTTGGATTCGTGCAATACAGTGCAGTTATCAGTTCTTTTTTCCTCCCTTGGTTTCTTCCCCGCCATATCCGTCCGTGCTCGGGGTTTACTCCTGGCTCTGCACTCAGGAATTATTCTTGGTGGCCTCGGGTCACCAAATGGTGTGCCGGGAATCGAACCCTGGTCGTTCACGAGCAAGGCAGATGCCCTACCCTTAGTGTTGGTCCCACCCGACAATTCTTTCAAGGCATTCATTTTGCAGTTTCTCAGTTCTCCACGGATTCAAGAGTTAACGTTAAAACCTAGAGTATTTTTCCTCGCAGAGGGAAAAAAAAAGAGTTGACGTATAAGAAAAGATTTTTATAAAATCGAGTCAGAAACATATTTTCAGACTTAAAACAAGATTGAGGATGGCCCTCTCAGAGTTGGCATAGATTTGAGAAATGTCTTTTCTTTCCTCCTAGACTCTCAGCGTTCAGCACCGTTTTGCGAGCATCTTTTTTCTCGCCTCTTTATATTTGTTACAAAGTACTTTCTTCAGAGTATCACATTGGAAGACGGAAATTAGCACATCCTTTTCAAAGGTTTCCCCTGTTGAAATGTCTAATTCACTTGAAAGTGTTGAGGACCCGCTACCACAGCTCTTTAGTAGTAATTCCTGAGGCAGAGCGGGGGTAACCCGGTGCATCGCGGGGTGTGACCCCAAAACAAAAACTTCAGTGTCTTTTGAGGACTTGTACCTTATAAGTTTTTAGAGATGCGGGGTTAAACAGCAGAAAAGTTGTGTTCTGAGGAGAATCTTTATAGAAGCACTTCTCTGTAGTAAGAAGACACTGGGAAAGAAGCTAGAGAGGACCCGGGTGGTGTGCTATTGTGAAAAGGATGAAGGGGCAAAGGGATGCTGAGAAGGGGTGATTGCTACTGAATTTTTTTTCGACTCATTTTGGCCTTAGGGATAATGCCAGTGTTTACCCCACTAGAAATTCATTCTGGCTAGCGTTCCAACTCTGGTAATGACACGAAGGATGCTTTCCTGGGGCTTAATCTCTCTCTTTTGGGGGGAGAGGTGTGGGGAAGTGGCACATCTGGGGGTGCTCAGGCCTTACTCCTGGTTTTGCACACAGGGATTATTCCTGGCAGTGCTCAAGGGATCATGTGTGGTACTGGGGACCAAACCTGGGTTGGCTGTGTGCAAGGCAAAGGAGAGCTAAGGTACCCCCTGTACCATTGTCCCTGCCCCTGTTGTCTCTCTTTCTGTTACCTTTTTTCCTGGTGTCTGCTGCTTTTTGGGTCATACTCAGCTGTGCTCAGGGCTTAACTCCTGGCTTTGTTCTTAGGGATCACATACTCCTGGTGGGGCTTGAGGGATCATATGTGGTGGGGGGATGGAACCTGGGTCAGCTGTGTCCAAGGCAAGTGCCTTACCTACCGTACTCTCACTTGCTGCCCCTCCCCCCCTTTTTTTTTGTAGGGGGCGGGTTGCAGTCACTCCTGATGGTGCGCTCCTGGCTCTGTGCTCAGTGATCAGTTCTGATGGGGCTTGGGGATACCATAAGGGGTGCCAGGGATCCATTGGGGTCAGTTGTGTCCAAGGCTATTATCTTAGCTTCTGTACTCTCTGGCCCTAAATTTCAGTTTTCTTATCTGTGAGATGATGATGATAGGATTGTTGAGAGGATAGTGTTGTTATCGTTTTGCTTTTTGGGTAATACCCAGTGATGCTCAGGAGTTAGGATTACTCCTGACTCCTGACTCTACACCCAGGAATTACTCCTGGTGGTGCTCAGGAGACCATATAGGATGCTAGGGATCGAACCTGGGTTGGCCATATGCAAGACAAATGCCTTTTTGTCTATATTGTTGCTCTGATGCCATATGTAAGGTTTTTGTGGTATTATTACATTATTTTAAAATTATTATTCAGGGATGTCCTGAAGAATTTGCTCAATGGCCTGAGTGCATGCTTTGTGTGTGTGAGGCACAAGTTGGATACTCTGAACTGCATATTACACTCAGCATCATTGGGAGTAGCTCCCTTGGCACCTCTGATTGTGGCCCTCACGCCAATTTTTTTTCCCTAGTACCTCAACAAGTCTCATGATGGAGACATTACTGGGCCCGCTCGAGCAAATCGATGAACAACGGGAGGACCGTGACCGTGACCGTGACCTCAAATGTTTAGCAAAGTATTTTGTACATGCGAACATACATTCATTTCATTGCACACATCAGTAAGTAATGTGTTAAGTAATTCAGAGTTCATTGTTGAGCTTTGCTAATGAAATTCTTCTCTTCTTAATTTCAGGTGAAACAGATAGAGAAGAGAGATTCAGTTCTAACATCCAAAAATCAAATCGAAAGATTGACCCGTCCTGGTTCCTCCTACTTCAATTTGAACCCGTTTGAGGTGAGCAGATGTTGCTGTGTCTTCTAAGGCAAAGCAGTACTTAGCTGTGGGCTGAGCTATTTGAGTTAGGAACTTTGGGTAGTTTTACCATCAATGAGCTAATTTAGAGGCAGCATGTTAAGGGAAATGAGTATATGTCTTTTGTTTTTGTTTTGGGGCCACACCCAGCGATTCTCAGGGATTAATCCTGGCTCTGCACTCTGGGATCATTCCTGGTGGTGCACAGCAAATTACATGGGATATCAGTCACGTGCAAGGCAAGCACCTGACCCTCTGTAATGTTACCTCTGCTTTGGTAACATTACTTCTACCATTGCTCCGGCCCAAGAAAAATGAGATTTGTTCTCATCATCTTTCAGCACCATAAACATACACAGATTTTTCTTTGTTATGACTATAGATTATTCTGTGATTATGAAGGGATAATTAGCATTGAAAATTGAGACTGGTCTAATTTACTACTTAGTGTTCTTATTTTTGATCACAGGAAAGCAATTACAGAAGAAATTAAAACCAGGGGCTGAAAAAATAGCACAGTGGGTAGGGGCTTTCTTAGCATGTTACTGACCTGGGTTCAATCCCTGGTACCACATATAGTCTTGCAAGCATTGCCAGGAATGACCCCTGAGCACAGAGTGAGGGGTATGTCCTGAGCATAGCCAGACATGGCCCCAAAACAAAAAATTATAAGATAAAATAAATGTTCACAGGCTTTAGAGAAGCAAACATACTTTATTTTATATATACCCAGTGGTGCTCAGGGGTTACTCCTGTCTCTGTACACCGGAATCGTTCCTGGTGTGCACCGGGGACTATTTGGGATGGCAGGCATCATGTAAAAGGCAAGTGCTCTATCCGCTGTGCTGTCTTTCCGGTCTCTTTTTTTATTTCCTTTCATGGCATTAAACTTTTGATTTTAAAATCTGATGTTAGTTACAAATATCTGAATATAGGATTGGAGAGCTAGCTCAGTGGCTACATACATGCTTTGTCAGGGAGGTCTGGGTTTGATCCCTGGCACAGCATGGAACCCCACATATTGCTAGGAGTGACCCTTGAACATCACTGGGTATGGTGCAAAAATAGTGTTGGCAAATCTGAAATATAGAAAAAGTAACAATTGTGTACTAGGCTGGAGAGGTGATACAGTGGATAAGCGCCTGCCTTGCACACCGCAGATCTGGGTTCTATCCCTTGTGCCCTGACTGTGCTCAGGGATCACTTGTAGCCATGCATAGGGAACTGTATGGGGTTCCAGGGATTGATCCCAGATTGACTGTGAGTAAGGCAAATTCGCTACCCACTGTATATTTAATCCAGCCTCTAAATACTGTTCTATTTCTTTTTTTTTTGGGGGGGGGGGCACAACTGGCTGTGCTCAGGCTTACTTCTGACTCTGCCCTCAGGGTCACTCTTGTCGGGCCTCAGGGATTGAACCTGGGGCAGGTGCAGGCAAGGCAAGCACCCTGTCTGCTATCCTATCTCTCTGGACCCCTCTAAATACATTTATTTTTTTCCTGTGCCTTTCTGGAATCGAAGTTACCTTTCATGCAAGTCATGCACTGTATTGCCGAACCACTTCCACGGCACTCCAGTTAGTAATAATTTTGATCACTGTGGATGAGAACTGGGTGCTGAAAGGAGGTAGAGTGATATGAATGATACACTCTTAATAACAGTACTGCAAACCACAGTGCCTAAAAGGAAAAGTAAAAAGTGCATGTTATAGAGGCAGACCGGGTGCCGGGAAGAAAACTGGGGATGTTGGTGAAGGGAAGGAGGGGGCACTGGTGAAGGGATTGATGTTGGGACATTATAAGCCTGGAACTCAGTCATGAATAACTTTGTAATTCATGGTAATTTAATAAATTAAGGAAAAAATGTTTTGAGGATGTTGGAGTGATAGTACAGTGCTTGCCTTGCATGTGGCCTACCTGGGTTTGATCCCCGGCATCCCGTATGGTTTCCTGAGTCCTGCCAGGAGCAAGCTCTGAGCATCACTGGGTGTGGCCCAAAAACAAAAAAATCTTTTTCAAAACGAATTTCTTTTGAAGTGAAGATTCATAGTTAATGAGTGAACACCTAACTGAGCACCTAAAATTCTATTTTGTTGCTTGCTTTTTTTTCCCCAGGCACGGAGTGTGCTTTGGGTCATGGCAGATTGCTCAAAATGCCACTCCTGGTAGTGCCTAGGGACTGTGGGGGCTGGGATTCAAACTGGGGCCAGTTGCTTGCTAGGCATATGTCTTCTGCATTGTCTTCTCTGTCTTAAAACTTTATTGAGTTGGGGGCTGCAGCGATAGCACAGCAGGTAGGGTGTTGGCCTTGCACGCAGCTGACCCAGGTTCAATCTCTAGCTTCCCATATGGTCCTGCAGCACTGCCAGGAGTAATTCCTGAGTCCAGAGCCAGGCCAGGAGTAACCCCTGAGCATTGCTGAGTGCCCCCCCCACCCCCATAAAAAAACCAAAACCAAAAAAAAAAAAAACCAACTGTTCAATTGTTTGAGACTAAGTTGTCAACATGATATCTCATCACCCAGAAATTCTTAGGTATGTTTTTTTCTGCACAGTGTGTGGTCCATACCTGGTGTTAGGCTCAGAGGCTACTCCTAGCTTAGTGCTTTGTCCTTGTGGGACACTCCTGGTGGTCCTACAGGGACTAGGTTGTTTTTGAATTTAAAACTAGGACTCTCACATGCAAAGAATGCCTTCTAGCCCCTTGAGGGTGCATGGTTATTAGTCTCTGTATTTTATTTGGAATGTTCCTCAGTCTTTCTTTGATTTACTAGTTTTAACTTTTTTTTTTCTTTTTGGGTCACACCCAGCAATGCTCAGGAGTTACTCCTGGCTTTGCACTCAGGAATCAACCCTGGCGGTGCTTGGGGGACCATATGGGATGCTGGGGATCGAACCTGGGTGGGCCGCGTGCAGGGCAAACGCCCTACCCGCTGTGCTGTCACTCTGGCCCCACTAGTTTTAACTTTTGTGACGATGATATGCCAGTTATTTTGTGGAAGACCTCTCTAAGTTTAGTGTTTCTGTTTTGTTTCTGTGCTATATCTGGCAATACTCAGGACTTACTCCTGGCTCCACACTCAGGTATTATTCCTGGTGGTGGTTGGGGGACCATTTGGGATGCTGGGGACGGAACCTGGGACTGCCAGGTGCAAGTCAAATGCCCTTCCTGCTATACTATCACTCTGGCCCTGCGATCATTTTTTAAAAATAACTAGTTGACACTTGTTTGTCCCTACCTGTGGACCTTGAGTTCTAGGGGAATAGAAGGCTAGCATGTATCACCAGGAGATGCTGTGGCAGTTTGTAATGAACGAATAGAGCTGGCATCAGGCTGGCATCATGTGTGCACTGCAGGCAGCAGGCATCACCTTGAGGCATCATCAACTATTGTTGTTGTTGGTTTTTTTTTTTTCTTTTTGGTCACACCCAGCGATGCTCAGGGGTCACTCCTGACAGTGCTTGGGGGACCATATGGGATGCTGGGGATTGAACTCGGGTCGGCCAAGTGCAAGGCAAATGCCCTACCCACTGTACTATCGCTCCGGTACCCCAACTATTGCTTTGTGTTTGTTTTGTTTCGAGGTCTTAGCTGGCAGTGCTTGGGTGTTACTCCCAACTCTGTGCAGTGCTAGGGGAACCAGACTTGGACCTCCCCTACACTGCTGCAGCCTTCCTCCGCCCCTTTCTTCATTCATTTGGTGGTAGTGTTGATGTGCAGGGGTTGCACACTGTGTCAGGGTGGTCACGTGCTTAGTGGAGGTTCCCCATGGTGGATGGTGTCACACACTTTTTTTGCAGTGGCACATGCTTGGTTGCTGTGTACCAGAGATCACAGACTTGATCCTGGTGACACAGGGATCTCAAAAGGCAGTGCTGCTGGATAGTACTTGGCATGTGGGATGGTGGTTTGGGAGTAGGAAGGAGGGTGAGACTTGGGGCCTTGTGTCTTGCAAGGCAGACAGTCTTCTACTGAGTCATCCCTGGACTCCATGAGTCTTTTTTGGTTCATTTCTGATGCTTAGGAACTGCTCTGGGCTCTGTCCAGGGTTGCTCCTGATGATGCTGGGGTTGAACCCAGGCATTCTGTACGTTTTGCCCTTGCTCAGCCAGTTGAACTGTCCCTTCCACCACTGTGAATCATGTTATTAGCAGTTTTTTCTTTATTTTGGTTTTTGGGGCCATACCCAACAGTCCTGGGGCTTACTCTTACCAAGGTGCTTGGGAGTCTCTAGTGCTGGGGAGGGTCCCTTGGGGTCCTGGGGATCTAATCTGGGCTCACACATGCACCAGGTCTTTGAGCGGTCTCTGAAATACTTAGGTTTTCCTAAGTTCCTGTAGGCGTTTCACTGTTTTAGCAGATTACTTTCACAATTTCTTTGGTATATAGTTTTCAATTCCAGATTTACTTTCATTCCTCCCCCCGCTTCTTTTATAACTTGTCCTCAATTCTGCTAACTTGTTCTTTTGGGGGGCCATACTTGGGGTGCTTGAGAGTCACTCCCAGTGGTGCTCAGGGGACCATATAGTAACTGGGGATCAGTGCACTTGGCCTGTTTAACCCTGTCTTTGGGTCTCTATTAACTTGTTTATTTTGGGCCACATCTGGCTGTGCACAGGGTTTACTCCTGGTTCTGGATTGAAGGATCACTCCAGGTGGGGCTCAGGGGTTCATATGTGGTGCTAGGGATAGAACCCAGATCAGCCATGTGCAGGGCAAGCGCCCTGCCTACCTACAGTACAATCTCTCCAGCCCCTTATTCCTAAGCTGTATCATCCTTCCTTCCCAGTCCTTTGTTAGTTCCCTTCCCTCCTCTCCCCTTGTTGCTGTAGTGATGAGTGGGGGTTGCACACGGGCCAAGCTGTGGTTCCTGCGTTCAGCAGTGATGCTCACCGAAAATGGCTCTCCTTTAGTTGTTGTGATTGTCCACCTGCTTGCTGAGGGTCATGCGCTTACATGAGGCATCACAAGTTTTTTTTTTTTTTGCTTTTTGGGTCATACCCGGCGATGCTCAGGTGTTACTCCTGGCTCATGCACTCAGGAATCACTCCTGGCGGTGCTCGGGGGACCATATGGGATGCTGGGAATCGAACCTGTATCGGCCATCTTGGCTGTGTGCAAGGCAAATGCCCTACCCGCTGTGCTATCGCTCCAGTCCTGAGGCATCACAAGTTATGCTGGCTAGGGCTCACTGGTGCTCTTTGATGTGCTTGCCAGAGGCTGTCCTTCTTGGCTGTAGTTCTTAAACATCAGTTTTAATGGTGGTGCTTGTCGGGGACGAAGGTGGGCCATAGACCTTTGTATGATACTTGCACACACCTTGGCCTGGTATGGCCAGAAAAAGCTTGTGGTACCAGGCTCACAGATAAAAGGGCTGCCAGTATCGTGCTTCACCCGTGGGAGGCCGTGTGGACTTAGGGCCATAGGCATGTTGAAGTGTGATTCTGATTCAGCTGCATTGACATATGCACCTCTTTTCCGTAGTTCCATCTGACCTCTGCTATTTCAGCGCTGTCCTCTGGCCTTGAATACTAAGTAAATATAAGAATGGCTAGGTTGACTCCAAGGATTACACTGAAATCATTTGCCTTAATTGCATATCTTATAACAGTACCTTCTGTAGAAAGGTTTTATGTGATAATTTAAAATATTTTCTGGGACCACAGACAGTATAGCAGGTAGGTCGCTTGCCTTGCACACAACAGAACTGAGTTCGATCTCCCAGCACCCTATATTTTCAGTAGGTGTTTTCCCTGAACACCAGTGAGTGTGGCCCAAAAAAGCAAAAAACAAAAAGCAAAAGCAAAAAACAAAAAATGTGCTTGCCTTGCCCCCTCCCCCCGCCCCCACTGACCTGATCTTGATTACTTCCATCAAGCTGGGAGTAATCCCTGAGCATCACTGGGTGTAGCCCCCCAAACAGAACGAAGTTTCCCTGCTTAATTATTGATGCATTTCTAGTACATAGCAATTTGGTGTGTGGATTCCTCTCACAGTTCAGAGACCATGTCATCATCCCAGGGATGGAAAATCGGTAGCCAGCTTCGTTCTTTTCCCTGATGAGCTGATAGGTTTTCTCCACATTTGTAAAGGTTTGTGTGTTCTGGGGTGGGTGGGAGTGGTGCATGCAGTGTTGAGGAAAAACGAAGGAAAAATGGCGCAGCATTTAGTTGTAGTTTAGAAATGTGTTTCTGGGTATAGGTAGTTAACATTTTGTTGGAGTGAAAGTAGCCTCTGTCAGCTCAGATAGAGAAGGGAGCACCAAATAAAGGGTGTTGGGAGGTTCCTCTCAGGATGGGAAATGCGTGATGACAGTAGACTATAGTCCGAACAAGATTGCCACTCAATGTCTCTTTTGCAAACCACAGCACTCAAAAGGAGAGAGATAACGGAGGGGAATGCCCTGCCACAGTGGTAGGGTGGGGTGGGGGGATGGGGGTGGGAGGGATACTGGGACTGGTGGTGGTGGAGAATGGGCACTGGTGGAGGGATGGGTATTCGATCATTGTATAACTGAAACCCAAGCACAAAAATTTGTAAGTCTACAACTGTACCTCATGATGTTTCACTAATAAAAAAAAAATAGCCTCTTTAATAATTTAGAATCATAGAATAGTACATCGATTATTCTGTTGTTGATCTGTTCCTTTATATTTACTGCATACTTCAAAAACTATGTGAGGCATTCTACACTCTTGAGTACTATTTTCATGTGATTATAACATGTATAATTATTGGACACCTCTTGCATTTATGAAATATTTTTATCATTTTAATTTTGGTTCCCCTAGGTTCTTCAGATAGATCCTGAAGTGACAGATGAAGAAATAAAAAAGAGGTTTCGGCAGGTACTGTACTATTTTCCTGTAAATAGACGGAGCTTGAACTTTTTAAAAGTGCATTAAAGCACATACTTCTCTTAAGATGTATGGGCCATAATCTAACTTTTTTTTCTTTTTTTTTCCTTTTTGGGTCACACCCAGCGATGCACAGGGGTTACTCCTGGTTCATGCATGCACTCAGGAATTACTCCTGGCCATGCTCGGGGGACCACATGGGATGCTGGGAATTGAACCCAGGTCAGGTTGCATGCAAGGCAAACACCCTACCCGCTGTGCTATCACTCCAGCCCCAATCTAACTTTTTTAAAACAAAGTTGATGTAACGCAAAAAGTACTAGCATTATATATTTTAAATAATATAATGATTGTGGGTTGCTGGTGAATGAATTTTCTTCTAAATAGTCTTTATGTAAAAGGGTAAGTTACAAGGGAGAGCAGAAAACCTTCCATGGAATCAGATTTACTAATCCTCTGGCTTCCCCAGACAGGTGAAATGAGTCAGAACAGCTTATTTATTTTAATTAATTTGTTGTTGTTGTTGTTGTATTTTGAGCCACACCTGGCTATGCTCAGAGCTCACTTACTCCTGGTTCTGCATTCAAGGATTACTCTTGGCAAGGAGTGGGGTACCAGATGGGGTGCTGGGGACAGAACCTGGGTCAACCATATGCAAGGCAAGAGCCTTACCCACTGTATTATCTCTCATCCCCTCCTTTTATGTTTTTGAAGCTGTAACATTTTCTAGTAGTCTTTATTTATTTTTGGTAGGCCACAACCGGCAGTGCTCAACTCCTGAGTCTGCATTCAGGAATTGCAGTGCTCTGGTGACTATATGGGATGCTAGGGATTAAACCTGGGCTGGCCATGTGCAAATACTCTATCCTCTATTCTATCACTCAAACTCCTATTTATGTATTTCTGTTTTTTTTTTTTTTTTTTTTTTTTTTGGCCTTGAGATCATACTTGGCTCAGGGATCACTCCTGGCAGTGCTCAGGGGACCATAGGGGGTGGTGCTGGGGATTGAACCTGGGTCAGCTAAGTGCAGGGCAAGCTTCCTACCTGCTGTAATATTGCTCTGGCTCCCTTCACCTCCTATTTTCTTTGTGGGGGCGGGGGAGGGTGTGGGGTGTACACATCTAGTGATGCTTAGGAGTTACTCCTGGCTTTGCACTCAGAAATTACTCCTGGCAGGCATGGCTGACATACGGGATGCTGGGGGATCAAAGCCGGGTCAGCTGCTTGCAAGGCAAGTGCTCCATCTGCTGTACTACCTCTCCAGCTCCAGTAGTAGTCTTTTTCAGTGGTGGGGTATTTGGGCTACACCCAAGGGTGTTCAGGGTTATTCCTGGTTCTCTGTTCAGAGATCAGTCCCAGCAGGGCTTGGGAACCAAACCCCTTAACCACTGTACTATTTCTGTAGCTCCGGTGGCAGTCTTTTGAAAAGCAAAATCAGAAAAATTCTACACAAAACCTGCTGGTGGGTCTGAGAGAATACAGCACATGGGGTGTTTGCCTTGCCTGCGCTGACTTTGAATCGATCCCTAGTTCACATGTCATCCTCTGCGCATTGCCAGAAGTGATCCCTGAACTCAAAGCAAGATGTAAACCCCGAGCTCTGTCAGTGTGGCCCAAATAAAACAAATCAAAAACAACCTCTGGTTTGGAGCCAGGGAGATGGCTCAAAAGGCTGGAGCATCTGGGAACCCCAGTTTTGATCCCTGGCACTGCATGTTTCCCCTGAGCCTGGCCTCTGGTACTGACCCTTGAGCAGCCTGCCTGGACGGGTCTCCCCAGGATGAATATTTCTGGGCATTTTATGGCACTGTAGCACTCTAGCACTGGCCTCCCATTGTTCATCGAGTTGCTCAAGCGGGCCCAGTAACGTCTCCATTGTGAGACTTTGTTGTTATTGTGTTTGGCACATTGAATATGTCTCGGGTAGCTTGCCAGGCTTTGCCGTGAAGGCAAGATACTCTGGATATCTTGCCGGGCTCTCCGAGAAGGGCAGAGAAATCGAACTCGGGTTGGCCAGGTCAGTCGCATGCAAGGCAAATGCCCTACCCGCTGTGCTAATTGGAAAAAATAGCACCTGCGAATAGTTGGTTATCAAAGGCCCAGTGCAGGTGAAGTTACTAGCATGTGTCTCTTACTGACAAACCTAACTCTTTTCTACTGCAGTTATCCATATTGGTGCATCCAGATAAGAATCAGGATGATGCTGACAGAGCGCAAAAGGCTTTTGAAGGTATTTGTACATTGATCTGCTTCTGGGTTAGCCATTGTCAATGCTGGGGACTCATTGCTCTTACCCTGGATCAGGGGAAGATTAAAATGTGTTCTCTGCTCAGGGAGCTGTGGTTTTGAGCAGAACTGTTGTCATTCCAAAGTAGAATGTTGCTGTTTAAGAAAAAGACAGTGTAACTTGGTTGTGTTAAAACTTTTATGTGCTAACAAGAGAGTAGTATTGCATTGCATCACTTTTTTTCTACTGTTGAAAATAAGTAATTAAAAGTATTTTACCATTGTTGAACTCTCCATGTGGTGTATTTAGCCTTGAATATGTTTATTTACCTTTTCTCCCCAAGGCTCTGGAAGAAAAGTCATTGCTCTGGCTATATTCTTAATGTAGTTTAACAATCATTAATATTGTAACAGCAGGGAATGATTGTAGAGGGCACGAGCCCATTTACACTGCCTGAGTATAGTTCAGACTTTCAGAGGGTGTTTGCAGAAACAGTTAATTTCAATGTTTTGCATTAGCTGTGGACAAAGCTTACAAGTTGCTACTGGATCAGGAGCAAAAGAAGAGGGCCCTGGATGTAATTCAGGCAGGAAAAGAATACGTGGAACACACTGTAAGTATTTATAGTGCTGCTGTGTTTACAGGAAGTATTAGCAAACAAGCCGTGGTGATCTGGCAGGCAGGAGGGTCAAAGTTATGTCTAATGCCTATGGTGAGACTTGTGACTATTACTGGAAAAAAATTTTGGTCCCCCAAGTAGTGCCCGGGGTACCTAGGGAACACTCCCTCCAGTGCTCGGGTGGTGTTGGTATCCGGGCCACTCCTGGTGGTGGCCATGTGGTACAGGGGACCTCACATCTATGGCAAGTACTCCTAGTGGTTTACTGACCCATGACAGGTTTGAGCTCTCCCACTTTGCTGTAACAGGCCTGAGTGGTGTGGAGTGGTGTGTGCCTAATGTAGTGCTCACCCTTGAGCGCCCAGAATGCAGAATGGCCGGGACACTGCTCCTGCCTCAGTCCTTCTGCCAGGATGAGGGCTGATCTGGCCCGTGACCCGACTGGGAGTGAGCGAAAGTGGAGCTGCCATGGTGATTCTTGTTTATTTTGGGTGGGGAGGCTTTCTCTAGTGTTGAAGCTAACAGGGCCACACCTGGTATTGCCTTGGGTAAGCATTGGTGCCAGGGGGAGCAAACTCCTGAGCTCGGGACCCCATGGATGCAGGACATACACTGTTTGGAGTCTCTCTCCCCTTGACTTTTACTCTTCTGTGTTGAAGGGATAAGAAAGTGGGCCTGAGAGAGGCTGCAAAGGGATATAAATTTTCTTAAAAGGGTACCTCTTTTTCAGTAACAGGGAAGGGCTCAGGTGAAATGAGTTTAGTAATAGCTGGCTGTATTACCGTTTTTTGCATTACTTAAGTCTCCTGTGTGGTGGGGAATGTTTAGATGGCTTGCTTTCTGTGGTCGAATATTTTTTACTTCTGGGGCAAGAATCCCGAGGTATTTATATGTGCTGTTTAAATTGGGAGTAGTGAATGTGGATGTGACTTTTTTTGGACTGTTTTGGAATCAAACTATACAGCCAGGAACAGGGAGTTCAGTTTAGGTGAGGATGATGAGTGAATGAAGTGGACAGCCACAGGTGTGCTGGCTTAAGTCTGGTAGAAGTTCAAAAAGTGACCTGATAATTCCTCACTAAAATCATGTCGTGGTTGCTCTTCCTCTCTGGCAGAGATTCCAAAACTCATTTGGCAAGTCGCCTGCCCCCTTTTCTGGTAAAAATCACTCAGAGCCCTACCTTTAAACAGACAGAATGCGCCTGCACCCCTACACTGAGGCTACCTGCATTGTCTCAACACCCTGCAGGGGGCAGCATCGTCCATTTTGAGGACATTGCTCTGTAGTTGCCTGTAAAAGCACCAACTTTGGACCTTCTGGCCACAAGGGGGCAGTACATTCCTGAAGATGGAAAGTACTTAGGGTTTTTGCTAGAGTAACAAAACCACTTATTTAATTGAATAATGTCATTCTTCTGTGAATGGAAATAGTTAAGCTGTCATTAGTGGCTAAAGTGATAAAACATTAGTTAACATGATGTGAAAAAGTTGGCTTAAGGGGGTTTGGTTTCACAGTGAAAATGATCAAGATTACAGTTTTTAAAAGTCAGAAAATAGTTTATACTTAATGCTATAAATTATGTGGTTTTTTAAAAAACCTGACAGATGTATTTCCTTTGCTTTAAACTCGTAAGCACAAGCTCTGAAAGATCACCAGGTAATCTGTTCAGCATATCAACGGCTCTTTGGATCTGGCCTAGAATCTGATGCACTGGGGATAGCTCCCTCTGTCCGGCTTTCATTCTTCCTGGTAGATGGGTTTTAGGTGAGGTTAGCGAAGACCCTTGGCACCCAGTGTCCCTTGCGTGCATTGCTCTTTTGAAGGGGAATGGAGGGAAGGGGAGAGATTTCTGTTTGATAATGTCCAAAATAAAGTACAACATATGTATGCAACATATGTATATAGATAGTGCCAATGTATGTGTGTTCATTTTTTGATGGAAAAAATCTTTTTAGGTAAAAGAGCGAAAAAAGCAATTAAAGAAGGAAGGAAAGCCTACAAATGTGGAGGAGGATGACCCTGAGCTGGTGAGTTATATTTGGGGAGAGACGCCTTACCTTGTGTGATTGATGAGTGAGGGAGAGGGAAGGTTGGACAAGGACACATATATGCTGTAAACATTATTTTTGTTTTGTGCAAGACCTGGCGGTGCTCAGGGTTTACTTCTGGCTCTGTGCCCTGGGATCCTTCCTGGCAGGTCTTGGGAGACTCTATGTGGTGCTGGGGATTGAACCGGGGTTACCCCGTGCCAGGCAGTGATTTTGTGATTTCTCCGCTCCCGTGAGGTTTTTTTTTTTTTTTTTTTGGCCTTTTTAATCATACCCAGTGATGCACAAGGGTTATTCCTGGCTTTGTACTCAGGAATTACTCCTGGCGGTGCTCCAGAGGACCAATGTGATGCTGGGAATCGAACCCAGGTTGGCCGCGTGCAAGGCAAACACCCTACCCGCTATACTGTCACTCCAGCCCTCCTGCGAGTGTTTTAACACAAATATTTGAGCATTCATTCACTCTCCACTTTCTCTGGTTTGGTTTCTTTTAGCAGGAGAAGGATTGGGCCACACCCAACAGTGTGTGTTTCTGTCTCTGTACTTAGAAGTGAGCCACATAGGGGCTCATATGTGGTCCTTGGGTCCGTAGCATGAAGGCATGCCTTGAATCTATTCTGCTTGCGGGGGGCCCCGCCAGACCACTCTCCGGCCTGCGGAGGTGGCCCTAGGATCCGTAGGTGCTGAGAAGGACCGACCGAATGAACACGAGACACAAGAGACAGAATGTAGCTCAGAAAAAGAGAGAAAAAGGGACAGACTTTATTGGGGGAAATCAGGGAATATATTCATTAGTGAGGCAGCTACACAGAAGGTCGTGCCCATATATGGTTAGGGAGGTTTGTTACACAAAGGGCTATGTCCGTATGATTTATAGGCATCACATACTAGGCAAGAGATAGTTACTTCTTGTTATCACCATACCTCAAGGTAACCATACCTAGCACTGGCCTTGCTTGTTGCAAGTCACGTGGCACAGGCTGTGCCTGTTGCAGGCCACGTAGCACAGGCACTTAGGCCTTGGTCAGTTAAAGGGACAGCTTCCCACACTGCTGACTCCTTTTTATAAAAATTTATTTTTACGCCACTCCCAGCAATGCTCAGGGGTTACTCCTGGCTCTGCACTCAGGAATTGTGGAGGACCTTATGGGATGCTGGAGATCGAATCTTGGTTGATTGTGTGCAAGGCAGATATCCTACCCATATTAATCATTCCAGCCTCCTGAAGTTGACTCCTCTATTAAATACTGCACACAAAGCAATTCTCCATACTTCTGCTTTTTTTTTTTTTTTTCGGTTTGGTTTTTGGTGCTGGTGGTTGAACTTGAGGAGTGCCTGGGTGCATGTGGTCAGCTTAGGATCGTATGCCTGCCCTGTGTGCTTTCGAAGCCCGTGTGCCATCTTTTAGACCTGCCCCTCTGGGCATCCCTGATAATAGCCTCTCAGCATCACCACAGTGCTGGACTTGAACCTGCAGCCTTAGGATTGCTAGATAAGGGCTTTAGATCACTGAGCCATCTCCTGGGCCTGTGTTATTTCTATTATAAATTCTTTCTAAGTACATTGAAAACTTTGATATTTGTAAAGTAAACCTGAGAACCAAGTCCTGAATGTTAGTGATTTTTTCCCCTAGGGTTTTTTTTTTTTTTCTTTTTTAATGTAGAAGTACTGCTATTTATTCAGCCATTGATTAAGCTGACTGAATTGGGCATGAACTCCACATTACTGTTTTTTTTCTTTTTTTTTTTTTTATTGAATCACTGTGAGATAGTTACAAAGCTTTCATGTTCGAGATTCAGCCGTGCAGTGACCGAACACTCATCCCTCCACCAGTGCCCATTTTCCACCACCAGTGTCCCCAATATATATACCCACACCCTCCTCCCCCATCCCAGTCTTCACTCTGCCTCCATGGCAGGCAGTTTCCCCAATACTCTTTCTCTACTTTTGGGCATTATGTTTTGCTTGAATTCAAGTCTGCCTGCCAGGGGCAGATGCTAGATCATTTATTGTCCATTGTTCATTTTGAATATCTTGGGTGCCGTGGCCACGCACTTCTGGAATTCTAGATTGTAAATGGTTGGGTTCCAGAGACATTTCTGTAGGGCATTAATCCATTTTGGGATTCAGTTGGGTGTCTGGACCAGAGCTGTCGGTGCATTAAGAAGGCGCCTGGAGGGACATTGTGGATGTGACAGCCAGGCCGACGAGCGGGCGGGGAACTTAGGGGGGACAGCCCAGCGCCTTTGCCGCCATGCGGCATGGAGTTTTAGTCCTGGAACCCACATACCTGGGCCTTGCTTGTGGAAGCTTTTGGTCGCCGGGATTCCATCTGGAGTATACCCTAGTCTTTCACAGATGTCTCCTTAGATCTTATTGAATTTACTGAATTTATTGAACAGCTATTTTAAGGACTCATGTTTATTGAATATCAAACATTCAACCTTATTATTTTTATTTCTATTTTTTGTTTTGGCAGTGCTCATGGGCTGCTTGCAGCTCTGTGCTTGGTGGTTCTCCTGGCAGTTCTCCCCCACCCCCCATGGGGGGAGAGGATCCATGTGGTGCCAGGGATTGAATATAGGGCATTTAAAACATCCGCTTGGCTGTTTGAACCGTCTCCCTGGGTCCTCATACATTCAGTATTGATCGATTATGGGTTGAGAAAGAACTCTGTAAGTAATAAGCCGGCAGTCAGCTTAGTTTATTTTCAGGGGGACCGTATCTTTCAGTACAAGAGGCTGCTCCTGACTCACAGGATCATGTAGTGCGGGGTGGGGGGTCAGTGGGGGCTCCTGTATGTAGAATGTGTGCTCTAGCCCTTTGACTCAACTCCCTACCCAGTCAGTTTCATGTTCTCCAGCATCAGGGATTAAACCGACTTTATGCGTCTGAAACCTAAGTTTACACTGAGCCATGTACCTGACATGCCCTAGTCAGCTTAGCTTCAAAACCAGAAGTAAGCTCTTACTTTCATTATTATTTTTTAAATTAATTTTATTTTTATTTTTAATTGAATGTGTCACTGTGAGATAGTTACAAAGCTTTCATGATTGAATTTCAGTCATACAATGTTCTAACACCCATTCTTCTACCAGTGCATATTACCCACCAATATCCTCTGTATCCCCTCTCTCTTCCCCCCTCAGCCCCGCCATCCTGCCTCTGTGGCAGGCATTTTTCTTCTCTCTCTCTCTCTGTCTCTCGTTTCCTCTCTCCTGTCTCCTGTCTCCTCTCTCCTGTTATTGTTTGCAGTACAGATACCGTTCAGCATGCATCTCCCATCCAGAGTGACCTCTTGTTACCATTACTGTCATAATGGTCCCTTCTCCGTCCCAGTTGTCCTTTCATGATTAGAATAGTTTTTTTATTTGGGTTGGGGGTTGGAAACACCTGAAAGTGTCCTGAAATTACTCTGGGCAGTACTCAGGGAACTATATATAGTGTTGGGGATTAAACCAGGGTTGGCCCCATGAAAGGCAAGTGCCTTTTCTGTTGTATTCTCTCTCTGGCCTTACTATTTATTTTTTGCCATGCGGGGGATCAAACCCTGGTCTTGGGGCTGGAGTGATAGTACAGTGGTTAGGATATTTGCCTTGCTTATGACTGACCTGGGTTTAATCCTCAGATCCCATATGGTACCCCGAGCACTGCTGGGAATAGTTCTTGAGTGCAGAGCCAGGAGTAACCCCTGAACATGTTGGGGGTGACACAGCCAAAAATACCAAGTATAGAAAACCCTCACACGTGTAAGGCAGTGCCCTACCATTGAGCTGCAGTCTCAGTCCAACAAACATTTATTTTCATAGTCACATTTATCCATTTGATGATACTTAAACCATATCAGTACAATAGACATTTTAATTGGCATAGGCTCTTTTGGGAGCAGTCATAAATAATTTAGGGTAAGGAGCTGTTACTAGCTTCAAGTGCTCCTTATGCTTCAATAATTTACAGAAAAATGGAGCATTGTTTAATTCAGGGGGCTGTTTTGTAGAGCCTGGTTCAGAGAGAATTTGCTTTGATATTTGTGTCTGATTACTTAAATTATCTTGCCCTCTTGACAAGGCCTAGCAGGGGCTCCCCGTGACATATTCGATATGCCAGAAATAGTAACAACAAGTCTCACAACAAGAGACATTACTGGTGCCTGCTTGAGCAAATCGATGAACAATGGGAGGACAGTGCTTCATTGCTACAGTGCTAAAATAATATATTTTGGTTTTTGGGCCACAGGTGGTTTTACTCAGGACTTACTCCTGACTCTGTGCTCAGGAGTCACTTCTGGGATTGAACCCAGGTCTACTTTATGCAAGGCAAATGCTGTACTAACTCTATACTATAAACTGCTGTATTAACTGAAGCTCCCCCCCACATACCTTGACTCCCTGCTTCTTGTAAAAAAACTCGTGATTGAAAATTTGGAAAAGTTGAAAAAAAATACATAAATTAAAAGTCTCCAGTAGTAACTCTCCATTGAGGAGCCTTTATTTAGAGCCCTAAATATATTGAAATATTCATTGCAGACTCTTGGACTTCTCTTGCTATTGGTCCTTATTGGCTGAGTTCGCAGCATTGATTTCACTGAGTATTTTATTTTATTTTATTTTTTTTTGGCTTTTTGGGTCACACCTGGCAATGCACAGGGGTTACTCCTGGCTCTGCACTCACGAGTTACTCCTGGCGCTGCTCAGGGGACCATATGGGATGCTGGGAATCGAACCCAGGTTGGCCGTGTGCAAGGCAAATGCCCTACCTGCTGTGCTATCTCTCCAGCCCTGATTTCACTGAGTATTGCCGGGCAGGAAACAGTACTAGAAGGAAGTGACAAAAATTTGGAATCTCTTACTTTCCTTTTTACTACATTCATCACTCAGCTCCATTGTCTCTGTATTTCTGGATACCGATCATATGAAATCTGTCATTTATTATTTTCTGTATTGCTTTGTATATTTGAAATATATTTGGGGGGTAGAGATTGCAGTGGGTAAGGCGATTGCTTTGCATGTGCCCAGTCTAGGTTTAATCCCTTGCACCTCAGGTGGTCCCCTGAACCCACCTGGAGTGATCTCTGAGCACAGCTGGATGTGGCCAAAAATGCCAAAACAAAGGGAGAAAAAAGTTGTGCTTGAGTGCTCTCCACTCTGGGGTTGCGAGCACTCCACCCGGGGTTGCCCCACCTCTTCTTTAAGACATGCGTTCCTTTCCTTCCAGCCTTTCTTCTCTCTCTGCCTCTCCCCCTCTGCATATTCTCTCTCTGTTGAATTAGTGTTCTCTCTCAATAATACTACTTTATTTCACTAAAAAATAAAGTACAGTTCTTTGCATTTGATGGGCAGGAGGTTTTAAAGATAGAATTCTGTTGTTAAATATTTTTTGTTTTTTTGGTCTGTAGGTTTTTGGGCCACACCTGGTGGTGCATGGCTATTCCTGGCTTGGTGCCTTGGGGGACCAGGTGGTACTGGGGACTGAACCCGAGGCTCCTGCATACTCTGCCCTCTGTGCCACCTCCCCAGCCCCTGTGCACTGTTGTCATTTCTGTTCAGTGTATTGGGTAGAACATAAGTTCAGCACCATGCACAGATCCAGCATGATGGGTTTGAACAAGAGTGGTTTGTTTCTTTGGGAAGATGGCCAATGGTCTGGCTGCCCAGGGCCTGTGTCACCCAGACGCTCAGCCTCCTCCTTTCTGTCACTCAGCTCACAAGGATGTGACTTGCTCTTTGAAGTCTAGGGTGTGTCATCATGTCAGCTCAAGTGCCAAACAGCAGAATCAAGGAAGAGAACAAGTGGGGATTAACGCTTTCCCTGTGAGAACATTCCAGGAAGTGGCTGCCTCATTTCTCATGGGCTGAAACTTGAAATTCAATTGGCTCTGCCTCTCCAAGGAAGCCTGGGAAGCTTCAGCTTTTAACTGCTGGTTCAGGACCGCGTCTGGAGGACAGATGATGGGATGTGGAGTGGCTCTCCCACAGCCCGTAGCCTGTGAGAGTAGGTGCACAGAATCATCATAAAGCATTTGTGAAACGAAATGATGAAATGTATCTTGGGACATTTCAAGAATAGAGGACCCGGGCCTAGCGGTAGTACAGCAGGTAGGATATTTGCCTTGCACATGGCCGACCTGGGTTTGATCCCCAGCACCTCATATGGTCCCCCAAATACTGCCGGGAGTGATTCCTGAGTGCAGAGCCAGGAGTAACCCCCCTACCCGGAGTTTCACTGGTATTACCTAAAAAGCCAAGAAAAAAAAAACAAGAAGAACAAAGGTTCAGGGCTGGGAGTTTGCACAGCGGTCAGGGCATGTGCCTAGCCTGGTATGTGCATGGATCCTCAGGCCACCAAGTCCCAAGAGTGTTGCCAGGTGCAGCCTTGAGACCCCTTGAGAGCTGCCTGGGTGGTCTGGGGATCCCTGATTCTGGATCCTGAGCAACACATAGTTCCAGGGTGCTTGCACTGAGCCGCTGACCCAGTCAGCCAGGAATCCATCATAGTGGTAGGGCCCCTGGGACTCTAGAGCATGTCCTTGGAAATCCCTCACCTAAGTAACTGCAACTGCAGAGAAGTCCTGAATTGTAGTAAGCGGACAGAATTGTTTCCTTCCTGGTGCTTTTTAGTGAGGAGTGGGGTTCCAGTGGATGACAGTAGAAAGATTTCTTAGGCAGGTGTGTTCTCTCCTGAGAGAGCATCATTAAGTGGTTTTGTCTGAAGAATCTTCTTTTTTTCCTTTATTGCACCCTAATTTTGTTTTAAACTCCATCTAAAAGAACTGATTGAAGTCACTGGTTGAACTTACTTCCTTTCGTTGTTAATTTTCTTTTAGTTCAAACAAGCAGTATACAAACAGACCATGAAGCTATTTGCTGAGCTGGAAATTAAAAGGAAAGAGAGAGAAGCCAAAGAGATGCATGAAAGGTATGTATTTACACATTCACATCAGCCGTTCTCTGAGCCCCTGGGTCCACCAAGATCTGGCTTTGGGAAATTCCTGATATAAGAAAGCAGATTGAAGCTTGTGACTTCAGAATTTGCCTAAAGGAGTACCTTGAAAAAGCCAGTTTTTTCCCCTTTATTATTATTTTTTTGTTTTTGGCCACAGCCTGCTGTGCTTTAAGACTTATTCCTGGTTCTGCACTCAGGGATCACTCCTGGCAGATCTCAGGGGACCATAAGGGATTGAGGGTTAAACCTGAGTTGGACATATGCAGGCAAATGCCCTACCTGCTATACTATTGCTCTGGCCCTTAAGAACCATACTTGTGAATCACCAGAGCAAACAGTTCTTTTGACTTAGGGAACATAGACCCACATTTAGGAAGATTATAATTGAAATGCTGTTTTCTTTCTGATTTCCTGCTGTGAACTGGGCAGTTATGAGGCCAGAACTGTATTTGTTTTTGGGTCACACCAGAGGTGCTCAGAGACTCTGTGCTCATGAGTGACTCCTGGCAGTGGCAGGGATTTGAGCTGGGCCTGGTGACATTCATTCAAGGCAAATACTGTCCCCTATACTATCTCTCTAGTCCAGAATTTGTCATCCTAATCATTCTGTGTTTTATTTTTTGGGGGGTGGGGTAGGGGCAAGATACACCTAGCAATGCTTGGTGGCTACTCTCAGACCTTTTCTTGGGGGGGTGGTGAATACTGAGGATTAACCCCAAAATCCCCACCCCACCAAGCAAGTGCTCTGCCCTTCAGTCCTCTGAGTGCTCTCTTTGGCTGCAGAATCTTGTGTGATGAGTGGGTTTAGTTTTGGTGGCAATGTAGTATTGTACAGTAGTCTCTTACAGAACATCCATTGTCTTAAATTCATTTTTCTTTTTGCAAGAAATCTTTTTAAAGTAATGTCCATCCTCTCTCCTCCCTTTGGTAGTGGTGAGCTGAGGGAGCCTGGGCATACTGCATGCTCAGCCTTCGTGCTCCCCGACCACACCCTTTCTGCTGCAGTTATGTCTCACACACTCTTTAGTCGGGGCTCCTCCTTAGGGCCGTGGTACTCACAGGAGGGGGCAGGGTCTCCCTTCCTGGCTGTGTGCGGGGTGGTGGGGAGGGGCGGTGGAAGTCCCAGACAGCAGAGCATCCAAACCTGCTGTTGGTGCTGTGGGCACCATGTGCTTGAAGGGCAGACGTGGGGCCAGTGCTGTTCCCCCAGGCCTGTACAGGGAACCTTTCTGTGTATTTAGTTTCGATATTTGTATTGTTGATCGGTGCTTAGTAGTTACTAGGTTCTGCTATTTAAGGTGCTTGAAGTGTGTGTGTGTGTGTGTGTGTGTGTGTGTACACACGTTCTCACACATTCACAGGCGCTTTTTGGGCTATACACGGTAACTGGGCTTCCTCCTGACTTCGCTCTCCTAGTGGTACTTGGAGATCGAACCCAGGTTCACTGTGCAAGGCAAGTGCCTTATCCACTGTACTATTGCTCCAGCCCTGAAATGCCTTTTTTTGGGGAGAGGGTTCTGGCTATGATTTTGAGTAAGCGTCTCTATTCCAGAGGCCCTCCGCTGAAACAGGATGGCCTGAGTTCTCCAGATAGTTTTCTCACAGGCTGCACTTGGCACTTTTGGTTAGTGTTTGCAGTGGTGTGGGAATTCTTGTTCCTGCCCCCTCTACAGGTACATTCAGAAAATCAATTTGGAGCTAGGGCATAGTACAAGTGGGTAAGGGGGTTGCCCCACACGCATGCAGCCAACCTCAGTTCGATACTCTATTTCCACATGTAGTCCCCCAAGCATAGCCAGAAACTGTGTTGAACTCTTTCCCTGGTGCACACGTACAGAACTCGAGGGAACTGTTGTCAGTGTAGCTCCCTCGACTGCCTGACCTCAGAATAGACTGATCCGTTGACTCTGTGACCTCAGCTAGACTAGACTGCTGACTTTAATGAATCCTGCTTCAATGCGGATGCCCAAACCAGGGTGGTGCTCAGTCTCTGAGAGTACTATGACCTGGTTCTTTCCCTAGGAAGCGGCAAAGAGAAGAAGAGATTGAAGCTCAAGAAAAAGCCAAACGAGAAAGAGAGTGGCAGAAAAACTTCGAGGTAAGTTTTAAGTTAACCAAGGGAATCTCCTCCAGAGAAAAAAAAACTCAAGTCTCAGCACTTTGGTTCTGGGTTGGTCCTGGGACCCACAGGAGGATCTAGCCTGACGCAGGGTACGGGCTTTGGAGGCAGCTCTGTCCCATTGCAAAGGGCAGTGGGTCCCCAAGCATGGCCTTAGTCTGTACTGGCTGCGGTGCTCAAGGATCATGATTTGCACGTCTGATTTAGACAGTTTTGTGTGACTTGAGGTCTGTTTGTAGGAGCTGGGGTTCTTAATGGCGTCCTGCTTCCAGATAAGACATGTGATTTCGGAACTTGACTCCTGGGACACCCTGGTCACAGGCTTATCCCTAAACCTCAGACAGGGGATAGGAATCTGAGTGACGCTTCTGGAAAGCCAGCGGCACAGCAGAGATTTTGGGTGAATTCGTAATGGCCTGTGCTAAATGGCACGCTTTTTTTTTTTTTTTTTTTTTTGCTTTTGCTTTTGGGCCACATGTGCTGGTAGTTAGGAGTTGCTCCCAGTGGTGTCCAGGGACCCTTCGTTTCTGGGGATTAAACTCGGGGCCACTGCAAGCAAGGCAGTTGCTCCAGCCCCTGGAGCCGCCTACCCCTTCTTCCTGCTGTAGCATACACTGCTTTCTGGGTACGCTGTCACTCTTTTGAACCTGCAGGAGTGGGAGAAAGTTCCCTGCTGTCCTTGGACCGTTCACAGGGCTGAGCTGGCGGGTAGGGAGGGGCACAGCAGGGCTAGTCCCTTCCTCCCAGTAGGCTGTTTCCACTCAACCCTCTTTACTGCTTAGGAAAGTCGAGATGGCCGTGTGGACAGCTGGCGAAACTTCCAAGCAAATACAAAGGGGAAGAAAGAGAAGAAAAATCGGACCTTCCTGAGACCCCCCAAAGTAAAAATGGAGCAGCGCGAGTGACCGCCTGGGGCTGGGCCGCAGACCCTTCTCCCGCCATCTCCCTTCCCGCTTTGAAGGACTCATTCTACCCTCCCATTTCCACCCCAACATAGAGTAGTACTTGCTTTTTAGTCCATTTTGTTTTCAATACAATTTAATACCGATCAGAGTAATTCTTTTGTACAATGGAAAGAGGGGCTTGGTTGGAAGTGGAACCTCCTTCTCATACCCCGTAGACCAACCCGGAGTGGAAGGCGCCTCCTCCCGGCTGTCTTCTCCTCCCACAGCCTGTAACTTAATGTTTTGTACTCCACTGGATTGTGATGGTTAGGAACTTGATGTAGAGTTTGTGGAAATCATCCAATTAAACATGTTGCTTAAAATGGTGTGGCCTTGACTTCCAAGCCGAGTGGGGTCCCCATGGGAGCTCCTTGGCTGCAGAGCTTGTTTCTGGGTGTGGCTCCTTCTAAGCTTTCCTCTTCAGGGAGAGGCATGCCCTGACAGCGCAGCCAGTCAGTGTGGCTTGAGCCTCCGGGCACCCAATCCTGTTTTCTCTTAAGAGAGCGTCCACCTCCCAGTACCGTCATGGCCCCGGCCTGCGTTCGTTAGAGCTGATCCTCTGTGTGACACGTTTGTACCCCGTCATTGATGTTCTCTGCAGTGATGTGTCACGTATGAGGCCAAAGTTACTCAACATGGAAATGCCTTGGAGCTGGAGAGACCTACTCCCTGCCATTGATTTGCTGGACCTGTTTCCTTTTTTGGCCATACTCAGGGCTCACTCCTGGCACTTCTTGTTTGGGGGATCACTCCTAGAGACTTAGGGGATCACATGGGGTGCTGGGAATTGAACCTGGATTGGCCACATGCAGAGCAAGCGCCCTGTCTACTACTATCTCTCCAGCCTCTGAACCTGTTTCCGTTTTTGTTTGGGGGCCACACTGGTGGTTCTCAGGGATTACTCCTGGCTGTGTACTCAGGGATCATTCCCGGCGGTGCTCATGAGACATATGAGATAACTGGGGATCAAACCCAGGTTGCCGCGTGTAAGGCAGGTGCCCTCCCTGCTGTACCATCACTCCGGCCCCTGAACCTGTTTCCTTCGGAATAGAATGAGGTTCTAGATTCACTGCTTTCACAGTCAGTATTATTCATAGCATAAACAGGTCACTACCCCAGGACTCTGCATGTTTCCATATGCTTATTACTGTGTAAAAGGAAGATATTTGCTATTTTGAGGATTAAATGGGATAATGCATGAAAATACCCATCAATTCGAATGTCCAGCTGGCTCTGGGAGGGACAAAAGAGGAAATAGAGCATTGGGTTTTGTGTTCGATTGGTTTGGTATTTGGACCACACCCAGAGGCTGCTCACAGCTTTGTGTTCAGTGTCACTCCAGGCTGTGCTTGGAGACTTTGTAACATGAGGGTTTTGTCCTGGCCCACATGCAGAACCCACTGGGCTCTCTGGCCTGGAGGTGGTCTTTTTAAAGGGGGAGCCCAGAGATTGGTATGTTAGGAAACCCATTTGCTGCAAGGAAAAAGGAGCAAAAGTCAATGCATCATTTCTCCCTTCCACCCTCAGAGGATGGCGTTGTCCTCAGCAATCTCTAGGCTCATCTTCTGGAAGATCAGGCCAGCAGCCCGCCTGAGTTACCAAGCAGAAATCACTCAGGAGATATAAAATGTTCCCCAAGAGATGGCGTTAGAAAATGGCTTCCCTGGCCACCTCTGACTCATAGCTGGGAAGATGACAGGAGCATGGGCTTGCCCTTTGGATTCGGGGATTGGTTCCTCCCTTCCTCCCTCTTTTTCCTTCCCACCATACTATGGCTCTTACCCAAGGGGACCTGCTGTTTCTCTAAGAGTAATGTTGGTGAGAAAGGAAGAAGGGAGATTACCTGCTGGGAGTGACTAAGAACTGCACAGGTGAGTCAGACTTAAGGGCTGCTGGAAGGAACGGGCCCCAGAAGCGGGAGCAGAGTGGCCTTTGTCCTGTCTCAAACATACTGGTTGGGTGAGGGGAGACCTGGGAGGTCACAAAATCTTACTGAAAATTCACACAACATCCTGTTTGTACAGGTGGACTAATGCCTGCCCGTTTCCTTTCCTTTCTGGTGAATTTCAGCCATAGACATTCTAATGGCACACAGGCAGTCGCTGGCCTGTACCAAGTGTGCCGAGAGCATCTTTCCAGGGCCACGTGGAGGGCTGGGGGTGTGCAGCGCAGGGGTAGACTGAATCTGGGTGCCTCCGGGGCCGGGGTGTTGGTGGAACTCCAGCCTCAGTTCATGAATGTGTCGAGGGTTTTTGGGGTCAGTGCCTAGAGCAGATGAAAGACCTGATGAGCAGTTTCCCTTCTCGCGGTGATTTACTGGATTACTGAGCTACTGGAACACACGCCTGCTGCCACCTGGGGGCCAACTGAGGGTAGTGGTGAGCAGGAGCCAGGCTGGGCTGGGTCCAATCCTGGCATGTGGAGTCAGCCCTGAGTCTCTGCTTCCTTGTGTCTGAAGAGGGAGTTACATCTTTTACTTCTGGCCATTTCTGGCGGGGTTTGGGACATCGTGTGGCTCTGGGGGAGGGGCTGGTCAAATGCAGAGCTTTTGTGTGCTAAGCCTGTGAGTTTTATCTCCTGGGCCCAGAAAATTGTGTCTTGAAAACAGTGTGATCACCTCAACAGAAGCATCAGTTAAGAACATCAGTCGTTGCCCTTCGCTGTTCAGTCACTCCAGATCCCTGCCCCCTTGGCCTTGCACCCTTGTCCAGGCCCCATGTCTGATTTGCAGCTTCTGTGGGTGAAAGTCAGTGCCTAGGGGGCTGCTAGGGAGCCTGACCCACCCAAGGTGGGAGCTCAGTGATGCAGGATTTGTTCCTTTCGGCTTTCGTCGCCTTTTGTGCCCACCCCCTACTTCATACGCACACTGTCTGTCGGTGCATCAACCTCCTGGCTGGAGCATGCCCACTCTCACCCTTGGAACTGGGGAGTGGTATGTCTGCCTCGACTCTGGGATGAGCACCCAAGGGGCGGAATCATGTTTCTGGCTGTTTGTTCATTCACTTGCTGACTGTAACTTTGGCATGTTATTTCTTATCTATAGGCTTTAGTTTTTACCTTCTTAAGTAAAATGAAGTTAAAAATACCCCGCCACCCCCTCTTCATTCCAGTTATAAAAAGAGGAAAACTTGTCGGCCCAGAGTACTGGCACAAGGGGTAAGTACCTGCCCTGTGTGTGTCTGGTCCTGAGCCTAGACCCCCAGTGACTCATGTGCGCAGAGCTCTGTCCTGACAGCTCTGCTCTTAGAGCCCGCCAGTTCTTTTGTTTGCAGTCTCCAGTGCCATAAGTAACATCCGGTCTCCATGCAGTAAAATGTGGAAGCACCACAAAGGGGTGCAATCCCCTCACAATCACTGACTAAAAAAGCTCTTGTGCCAGGAAGCTTGACCTGTGGCCTATACATAGGTGAGCACTGCAGAGTCCTAATGAGATCCATGACCTCACTGTGTGGGCTCAGTGAGGCGGTTCTGACCAGGACGGGGAGCAGTGAGCACAGCCGGAAACTTGGGGCCTCAGCGTGGAGTGCAGCCTCTGCTGAGCCTGTGTGTGAGCACCATGGCCAGGGGTGTGGCAACTCTGGTCCTTGTAACATCAACAACAGCCAGTAGAGGGTGAGGATAATAAACACTGAAAGGGAAATCAAGCCTTGTACATAGAGGCAGTGGCCTGTGTTTTGTGTCAGACATCTGCACTCCTGATGTTCTCTTAGAGCCTCAGCTGCTGCTTCTAAGATGTTTTTTCCTGAGGGTGAGGAGGTTGAGGAGCCTGTGTGGGCTCCGAGGGGCGGCTCTGACCAGGATGGGGAGTGGTGAGCACAGTTAGAAAGCCCCGAGGTAACGGAAGGCTCTTTCCTGACCTGTCTTCCTCTGGAGCCCGACTCGCCTGCTGCTCCCAGAACCACGTCCCTCAGAGACGGGTTCTCTTGGACTCTGAGCAAAGACCCCTATTTTGGTTCTCCTTGCTGAGCACCGCTGCCCACTCTGAGCCCACCGGGGTTCTGATGAGGGAGGTGACTGCAAGTTGCTTTCTACGGAATGTGGGGCCTGCTCAGACAGGGGCTCCCCAGAGCAGGAATTTGTCTCCCTCCTCAGGTGGGGGCCCCTGCAGGAAGGGGCTACCTCTCTGTCAAGACAGGGATGACTTCTGAAGACAGACTTTTCTCTAGAAGATTGGGTATTCTGGGGCTGGAGCAATAGTACAGCAGGGAGGGTGCCAGCCTTGCACGCGGCCAACACGATTTCCATCCCTAATATCCCATATGGTATCTCGAGCACTGCCAGGAGTAATTCCTGAGCACAGAAGCCAGAAGCCAGGAGTAACTCCTGAGCATAGCCAGGTATGGCCTCAAACAAAAAATGAACAAACAAAAGATTGGGTATTCCGTGGGCCCAGAGCAATATAGTCCGGTGGTTAGGGCATTTACCTTGTATGCGGCTGACATGGGTTCTATCCCCAGCACCCTATAAGGTCCTCTGGCCACCAGGAGTGATCCCGGAGCACAGAGCCAAGAGGAAGCCTTGACACTCCAGGAGGAAGCCCCTGGGTGTGGGCCCCCCAAAAGAGCCCCCAAAACAAAGAGTGAGTGTTTCTAGAGGGCTGTTCTCTGTTGGCGCCTGTCAGCAGAGCTCCCTTGAACATGTCTTCTGGAAGCACCTTAGGGTCATTTATGTCCACTTGGGGCTCACTGGAGTTGGGGCTACAGCCTTGAAAGCTGAACTCTGAGGAGAGGGCGGGAACCTGCCTGGATCAGGGCCCTTTTCTTGGTCAGCGTCCATCTCCCTGACATTCTAGGGTACCAGTTCATCCTCTGCCAGGCTGGCCCCAACTCTTCCTGGGGGCCTCTGCATCCAATGGGCCTGGGCGGGTATTGGCGGGGCGCCTGGCTGGAGGAGGCGTTCCCAGACACCTGGGCTCCTCCCAGACCTGCTTCCTGGCTTTCTGCCCTGCCCTCCGCGTCTAGCCAGTGGGCAGACCTCCCCGAAATTCTGAACAGGGACTGCTGTATAAAGTGAGTCACACCTTGGGCTGGGCCTGCCTTCCGCATGCTCCTTCCCTGCTTCCTGAGCTCCTGAGAAGCCTCCCAGGAAACATGTTCCCCCATCACCCTCTTAGCCTCCTGCCACCACTTGGATCCCGTCCCTGCTGTTTGTCAGGTAAGAGGCTGGTGGCTGGGATGAGAGGGTCAGGCGGGGATGTGCCACAGAATCCCTGCGGCTGGAGGGGCCTGTAGAATAGAGCGGGGTCTGGCTCCATCGTGGCAGCACCCCTTTCCCACACACACTGACACAGCATACATCTTTCTCCACAGCATTCCAGGGCATAGGGGTTACCAACAGAGCATTCCTGTGCCACCTCCCACGAAACCCTTCTCACCTTCCCAGATGAGCCACAGCCTCGGCTCTCCTTGTTCCGGAAACAACCCAGGGCCATCATTGGACAGAGTGTCAG